TATTATTCAAACACAGCCGTCATTCCAAACGCAAGTCTAGCCGGACTACTTGGGGAGGAGTACATGTGCAGTAACTCCGCTCCCGGAGCTTTTCCTTCATTGCCACAGAAAATTGACCTGGATAACGGTTGATAAGGATGGGATGGCATCACACGTGCCATGTTGAGACGCTACGGCCAAAGCCACGCTAGCGACGCTAGTACGCTGTAGCCGCGTCAGCGCTGGTGCAATGTATTCGTCGCCTCCCTCCTCTCGGTGAGCCCGCCAGCATTCCATGGTATTTTTCCACCCTTTTCTTTTTCTTTCCTCCGCCCTTCGTTCATTCACTCCGCGTTCTCTCCTCCTCCATAACGGCCTCGTCGCTTGCTTCTCAGTGGCGCACCCAGCACGACTCCATTCTGACGCGCACTCCCTCCCGCGTTTGTCACAAATATTTTGACGCAACTGTGTTATAACCAGTTTTTCATCTTGGGGGACTCCAAAATAGGCGTTATGGGTATACATGGGGTCGGCAGTCGAAAAAGACTGACATGAAGATTTTGCCGCAACCACATTACAACCATTACAATCTTGGGGGACTGCACAATAAGTGGTATGGGTATACATGGGGTCGGGAGTTGAAAAAGATCACATTTGTACCCGGTTCTACACTAAAAGTAGCTGCGTTGGAAGTTGTTTACACTGTACTAGACGGCATCTGCGCATGCATGTGGAACGTGAACTTGCTTTTGTTCATGGCTGCTTGCAATATCCAGTACCCCAGCCACCAAGCCAAATAGACTGAAGTGTGAGTGCAAATTGTACGACCACGTCGTTTAAGCCTGGTTATCAGCTAAACTGGCCTAGAATACTTGATCCGAAAACATGAGAGGCACCAAGCCCCTAAAGGGCTGGATAGGTAGTGCCATATAATAATTTTTAGAACAAGGCAGGGCTGAAATATGCTGCATTAACTTCTGGTGCGACTTTCTTGCAGCGGCATAATTATAAATGAGTTGCCTTTTCAGTCTATCTCTCAAAAAGAGCAGGTGAAAACAAACACATGTATGATATCTGTCGCACAAAGTGTCTCAAGATGTCCATAGCACCATTGGGTACTGGTATTCCTGCACCCATTTGCGTATAGCAGGATACAGTGCAAGCTAAAAACTTCTATAGGCTTGTGCGAATAATGGATTTTTGGTTCAAAGCGAATAGTAATTTCGCTGGAATAATTTCAAATCGAATTCGAATGGTACGTATGACATATAAAAAAAAGGGAATATTTATCATGACCTAACTAACCTGCACAATATTTCTTTTGAATCGAAATAGCGGCTCTATGCAAATGCCATTTATTTTTAAATTCAAAGGAAGTCAAAACAACCTTGAGTAGTTTCAGTAGGATGCCAGTGATAACCTGTGAGATACTTAATGTTTTAAAATTTATTATACTTGGATCATATAAGCCGTCATAACAAGCTTAATAAAATGAAGAATTGATTTGAGAGTACCATGTTTCTTTAAAGGGGCCCTGCAACACTTTTTCAAGTAGCCATGGAGCCAGTAAACATTCTTGTTGCCTCGCAAATTTACTGCCTCAAAGTTTCTAGAATCGGTCCAGTACGAGTGGAGTTCCAAAAATTTGTCGCACACTGCAATTGCATTCTCTCTTCTCGTCCTAGCGAAATAGCTGGAAGCTAAGCAGGGAAGAATGGCACGACGAAAGAAAGTACTCCAAACGAACCTCGTGACCTTGAGCCCCCCCCCCCCCTTTTTTTTTCTTCGAATACGCGGTTTTTCAGTGCGATCGCGCATCTACTCGTGGACAAGCGGCGCTCCCGGTAACGGCGAGCGCATCATGCTCAAATCAGCCAATGCCTGTGATCAGAGCCATATATTTCTTGGCTGTGACAAGTGATTTTTGAGCTTGTAGTGTCATTTGCCGAGAAAAGAAAGCAATTTTTAGCTTTGAAAATTTATTGTGAATTACAGGCCACGGGCTGCGCTACAATATTTGCCTCGCGTGTTTTCAGAAGCTTTGACTCTCGATCGGCAGCGTTTTCTGATCACGTTCAGCAAGTGTTGCAGGGCCCCTTTAAATTTAAAGGGGAGCTTCACGGCAAAGCGATTTTTCGTAGATGTTTTCGCTGTTTAGCACTTCCACATTGCAGTGAAACCATCTTTACAGGCAGTGACATGCAGACTAATGTATTTTTATTCGTTCATTGCGAATGCTTCAAAAATATTCGATAATTTAAATTCGAATTGAAGCGAATTCGAATACTCAACTATTCGTTCGAATATTCAAAGCATTCGAATATTCGCACAAGCCTAAACTTCTATGATTTTGCCACAGCGGTGATTGAATCTTTTCTAAGCTAAATATAATTTAAATCGGTTATCACCATCGTTTAGTGGTTTACACAAACATAAACATGATGTGCATTCCAAAACTTCTGCGTTTATGCAAGATGTGCAATGAGACTGCACATGCAAGGAAAAGGGTGTTGTACAAGTGCCAGTTACTGCTCCGAAATATGTTCACTTGAATGACGGCGCCACTTCTTTGACAATAGAGTGGAAAGTGAAACGGCGTGAATTATGGAAAAGAAAAGTGCCGACCTTCAGGTTATTGGATATGGCAGAGAAGGGGTTACTGTAGATATGGCAAAGAAACAGCATGTGGCCACCTGCAGTCCATGTCTCGCAAAACAAGTTAGTTGTATCTGCTTCTGGCTTTATTTATATTTCGTGTCTCTATCTCATCTCATGCCAGAGTCTGTGTTTGCCAAATAATTTTTTTGATCTTTGAAGGGCCCTTGAAATGGTTTTACAATTTAGTACAAAAGCAGTAAGCATGTAAAGAAATTTGCAACCAGCACTGTACCCAGGAATTTGGTGGGGGGGGTTAACTATAGAACTGCCAACTTGTGCAACTGGTGATTGATGGGAAGGCATGCAAATACTTATATATCACCCAGAAAGTTCACACATGAAAAATTTTCTGGGGTCTCAAAACCCCCTCAACTCTTCCCTAGTTACGGCCCTGAAGTTGTAATGATCACTTGGAGGACTGATTTAAGTTCTGCTTTAAGTGTGCATTTTATTTCAAGGCTTTAAACATGCAAATCACCACTGATCGTAGCAGCTTAGCCAAATGAGTTTATAACCAGCAGGTTCCACAGTAGCTTTCATTGTTATGTTGTACATAATACTAGCCACCAATCTGATTGGATATGTGCTGAAACTTGTGCGAATATTCTAATGCTCAGAATATTCAAATCAATATTAGTGCATTTGAGTTCGCTTTGATTCTAATTTGAATTGTTGAAGTTTTCCAAATATTCGAACGAATATTTGTACATTAGTCTGCATGTAACCCCTTGTAGAGGTTGTTTCACTGCAGTGGAGTGGCGCTAAGCTTTGAAAGTGCCTATCATCCAGGAAAAATCTGCACTGCCACGAAGCCCCCACTTCAAGGTTAAATGAACATATTACCAGGGTCCTTTAGTACTTTTCACTGGTCACGAAAATTCCACAAAGGTTTCATATTGTCACGGGGTCGTGACGTGGCCGAAGACAGGAGACTTTGCGTTGGAATTCAACTGTTTATTTGGGCGAACCTGTGCCCGGTAAACGGAAAGTCCGATTACAGTAGCAGTCTTGAACTGATAGCGGCGAACGGAGCGTCGGCCGTCGATCAACTACTGACAAGCGGCGAAGCGCGTCGGCATTTATACTCTTGCCGTCGAATGTTCTAGCGTTATCGCTGGCGGTGGTGTAGATTCCAGAATAATCTGTACAGTTCGCAGAGTAGGCGTGATCTTATCGAAATGATCTACTACAGTCCGGAAGCTTGTTCAAAACTGCAGGCGTGGTTTGCGCGGAGAATTGTGTAGTGTTTTGGGACGATAACAAAACTTGGGAAATGGAATGTGGCAATATGGCAACAAAAACGGCCACCATAAGCAGAGGGGCATTGATCTGCCGCGCTCCGTAGGGCATTTTTTGCGTTTGCAGAAGTGTTTCACATCAAATACATTCATATATTTTTTTTCACCGTGTTCTTATTAACAAAGCACAGCTGTGAATAGTATTGTCAAAATGCTAAATTACACGCGTTGTCAAATTGCCAAACTCATTAACTGTTGACAATGTTTTAAATGAGGGTGTCTGTCTACTGACGTGTGTGTTCGTACCATTACAACATTTCTCGATTCCTGCATGGGCACTTTCAGGGTTAAACCAGACACTGTGACTGGTGTTGCATGATTGATAGGATTTGTGCTACAGGTTGCAGAGTAGCCGTATTCTGTCTGCATGTAACATTCATTTTCGGACTAATTGTCACTTTATTCTATAAGGCATCACGAAGCTGCCAATAGAAGTTTGCATGCCAATAAACAAGTCTGTATATCAGGCTAACTTGGCATTAATATTGCCATTGGTGACGTGTGAAGAAGAAGCGATACAGAAAGTGACATGTAATCAAGTTTCTTCAGCAGCAGCATTTTAGTACACTCTTCTTCAGCTTATCGATGCCAGTGGCAAGCTGTCGCTATCCCATCATCATAGATATCAACACATCTGCGGCCATACGAAGACACAACCAGATTGCCTGTGCTTACACTTATCCGTGACCATTTTCAGATAGCTGCATTTTTTTTTGGTGTTTGTACATCATTGACCTGCTGGTAAAGCAGAACCTTTATGGCTGGTGTCATTTCAACACTGGCAGAGCAGATCTCGATTATGTTCTATGTACAGTCACCAGAGAGAGAACTGGTATTGCGAGGATTGTGGGCACTGGTGCAACTATATTGCCCTGTTATCAGAAAGGTAAAAGGATCTCGATTTGCTGCAATGTTGGGAGCTGTGTGCACTCATGATTATGACATTCAGTGTGGCTTCCTCTGTATGAAAATATTGTTGTAATGAACAACCATATTGTGTTGATTGTAGAGAAGTTGAGAAGCGGGAGCAGAGTTGTAGTGATGCTGTGTTGATTGCATGCGCAGGTGCCCCCGTATGTCCTCGTCCTGATGTGTGCCACCTCATACCGCATTCACTCTATCTACGTGCTTCGACTGTTCAACGACCCAGTCGCCATGGCCTTGCTGTATGCCTCCCTTAGCTTCCTCATCAGGCAGCGCTGGGTGTTGGCTTGCATTCTGTTCAGGTACAGAGAGTACAAACTTTTGTCTTCATAGTAATCCTCTCAATAGGCTGAATATACAGTTGAACCACACAATTATGAAATGGTCGGAAACCCAAAAAGAATTTAGTTATCATGAAATGATGCGGTATATAAGCAGGGATATGGTCCTAGAGCATAATATGCTGAGCGAGTTGGTTTTTAGTAGCTTCCATATTTACAGTGCAAGATGACTCGGCAGAGAAAAAGGCACTCAAGATGCATGTAGTGCTACAAAGGGAAACTTGAAAGCCAGCTTTCGGTTAGCTTTCATTGCCCTCACTCGAATGAAGAACATTTTTCAAATGCTCGTTTCTTTGACAGAGCCGTAATGAAAATCAGCCGACAACGAACCCAAGGAAGGTAATGTTAATGGTGTATTGTAATAACTGAAATATACAAAGTAAAGCCAACAAGAATACGGCAGGAACCTAACCTACGCACTTGCCAACTGAGCAACAGTCATCTCCTTCTCGGATATTTATGCGCATGCGAATTCTTGGATGTAAGGCCCTGACCAATAATTCGAAGATTTGCATGCACATTAAACTCCCACGTAAATCTTCCTTCACAATGCAACAAGTTTTCAATTGCCACATTGTCAAGATGCATTGTGAGGGATGCTCGAATTGTGTTGACAGCACCCAAAGACTGTAATCTAACGTCGCCAAACATGACAGTGGAGACAATGTGTTATAGAAATAACTGTATCAGCTGCTTATATATAGCACATTCAGATGGCAGAGCTAATCTGGATTTGTCATGGATACTAACGAATAACCCGCGAATGATCCACCTCTAACTCTATGTGTATCTAGTTGACGGACAAGTTCATCTGGATTACTCTCGACCGAGCACATCAGACAGGTTTGAAAGCATTTAACAACATGAAGGCCAACAGAAAATGAAAATCACTTTTTTGAGGACTCTGTGAAGAAAAATTTCGTTGCACTGCTTATAACTGACCCTGCTGCTGTCATGTGTAGGGCCGCGTTTATGTAGGGAGGATACTGTAATCAGCCAGTCTATATCAGTTTTTTTTTTTTTTTTGTCGTTATGTACCGACAGTGCACATAGCTCTGCTGCACGTTACGTTTCTATCTCATGGTTCGCATCTGGTCCACAAAATCGGTGTTTAAACATGGGCTGTGTTTAGAGACAACAGCACCACTTCACCTGCCGTAGAATCCTGTGTGTGCAATGACTAAAGCTACAGATTGCCCCCTGTTCTCTAATCAGTGTGCATCAAAAGATAAGGTGAGCTGATGGTTTTAGAATACAGCCTCAGAAATAAACTGAACCGGCGAGCCAGTCAGTGAGGACAGCTGCACGGCTGAAGCATCGGGGGATTGGGACACTTTAGTTTTGTTAAACTCGAATGCAGAACGACATTTGATTGATTATAACACAGCAGATGCACACAAGCTGCTAAACTTCTGAGACACACTGGTTCCTACGGCTCCTGATGCAGCTGTAAAAAAATAGTTTGTGATTGCTAAAATAAGTCCCGTGCCACCTGGCTTTGTAGGTGGACATCGCTTGGGAGGAGTGCAATGTATGTAGCACAGTGGTCCAACTGTCTTCAGTAACCATTATTATAGCAGATAGTGCAACATTAAGGTAGTGGTCCCACTCTGCCTTTTATGCATTGTTTGCAGATGCACTGGGCTCGCTGCGCTTCACAAAGAAAACTTAATTGGGCTACTTCAGAAAGCTTATGATCCCCTCTTTTCAATGACATCTGATTTTAATGCCTGGTCGGAAGCGTCACCTAGTAGCAACGAAAATAATGTGAGCAAAAAAGCATTTTCGCTGTACAAGCCTCCGTTGTACTGCGAGTACGGCGAAACTATTCAACGTAACAAAGCAGAATTTACTGTACTTTTAGATAAAGTGCCATTCAAAAGTTTTATGAAGAGATATTGGACATAAAATAATTAGTAATTTATTTATGTTTCAGTGAAAATGGGCAAAATAATGAAAGTTTGTGTAGGAATATCTTTTTTTCTTTACATAGCAGAGCCATAATATTTAGTGGCTATGTAGACTACATTAGACTTATTTTCCATGCGAAGTCACTTAGTGCTTTGCGAAAACTTGATGAATTATTATTGTGTCAATCGGGCAGTTTATGGCTGTACTTGATCATGCATTACTGATGAAACGACAAAACTATACAAGCTGATACTCCGAACTTCTGTATAATGAAGCAACAGGCCGTTTCTGTGATACTATGAGAAGAAAATTCTTTTATCTTTATTAGGGAACCTGCAGGACAGCATTGAATCTAGCTAATGTTTCTGCTGGCCAGTTCTGTAGAAACTTGCTTTTTTCTTCTTTTAGATGCTAACTACCAACGAGTATTGTGCATTAGTAGATGCATATTGTGTCTTGTATCTATTTTTGCTCACTAACTTGATCACTCAGTGCTTCAAACTAAATATTTTCAATAAATTATAAATCTCACATGCATTTTTGGTGGTAGCTCCATCTATTAAATGAAAAATCAAGTTGTTTTATGTGAGTTCAAATGTTTGCCGAATGTGGCACACTTAAAAATAATGAAACGGGTAAAACAGGTATGGATTATATCTCCAGGCTTCATAGTTTGCCTCAAAAGGTAAGTATAGTCGCCGTGTGTAACAAACACCAACCGTAAAAGGAGTGCTCTGTAATGAATCCTTTCCACTGGCACCAGGGCGGTGTCATCGAGTGGCAAATGGTTTCGGTACGCCAGAAAATTGCGCGTTCGACATGTGTTCGCAGCAGAACCAGCGTTCCCCGCCGTGTCTCAAGTAATGTCAACTTCACAAATATTATGGCAGTCATCAAAACTTGGCGTGTTATTGTCAGGCTTGTCACATGTAACGGCAAATGTGTCTTCACTCATAGAACAGCAATTTTTCAACAAATGCCATTTCTTCTTTAGAAGGGCTGTGGCAGCAGTGATGACAGTTGCTCTTTTTTGTTTGAAGATGTCTAACTTCTGTGAATTATTTTTCTGTCATATATGCTTCCCTGATGTATATATGAGGACTTTTGTATTCCCCCTCTTTTTTTTCTTTTATGGTGTGGCAGCATGATAGAGACAAATGAGACAGTGTCTCATTTCTCCTTCATCTCAACTGTCCCAAACATCCAGACTTTCGCCTGCCAGTTGCCAGACACTGCTGATTTGTCTGCTAAAGCTGCAGTGTACCGCTGCCAGAATCCCAATGTGAAAAACAGGCTGGCATTATTCATCTGCGAGCTAGGCAGACAAGGCACGGGTGAGGAGAATCGTTGATGTGAGGTCACATGATGTGCCATCTGCCCCTCCATATCTGGATTCTATCTGTCGTATTAATGCAGCATTCACCATGATATCATTGCACTGACTTTTAATGAAATCTAACAGCTCGCTACACAAAAGTGAGTGTACTGTATGAGCACAGTGACCCGAGTGTCGTGTTTTCGAGTTTGTAGGATTCTACAATGTGACTAGCTTGGCTCTGGCTACCTGAGATATAAGAAGTATGAAAGTGTTATTAATGTTTCTTGTTGTGAGAGGTTTGTGTGGCCTTAGGCTCTCAAACAGGAGGCGTAGCCAAACGCAGGACGTTTATAGAATTATATGGATGTACACAAAGGAACTAGTGTACATACAATGGCGAAAAATTATCCATTTAGTCCTTAAAACGTGCACTACTATTTTAGAGGTCCTGATGCAGCGCACCTATAGTCCGTGCACCACTCGATGAGGATCTCTCATGTCCCAGTAGTCATGGCAGTTCAACACGTTGATAAACCTCATGGTCCTATAGTGCTTAGTCACTCCACACACATGGCAGTCGATCGCTGCTTTGCTACCCGGGCGGGTACCCTGACCATGTGCTTGGCCACACCCGAGAACACCTGAGCACTTCTAAGCTTTTAGGTGCCACGCAGCCATCAACTCGTTCAGACGCCCTAACTGAGATCACTAGCATAACCGTGTCCCCGTGCAGCTGGTCGTTCACGCTCAACAGCAAGTCCACCCTGGAACAGACCGGTAGCTACCACAATCGCCTCTTCGTCAGCTGTTCTCGCCTGCTGCCTCAAAGCACCTCGCTGCTCGAACAATCGAGCCTTTTGTCATGCTGTCCACAAGCAGTGCTGGTGCGCACCGCAATGTTGCATTATTCTTCCTCCTCAGCTGTTGACAAGCACAGTTCTTATATTGACCCCAGCTCATCACATTTCACCTTGCATCCAGAAGGTTGTGCTGTGGATACCATTTGCTTAGATGCGACACAACGAAACACCAAGTCTTGGCATGCCACTGGCATGTTTTGTCTTCCTTCTGATGAAATGCCGCTGCTGATTGCGGTATTGATGGCAGATATCCTTTCTTTATCTTTAAGAACTAGGTATATTTCGTTCTCTGCAGATTCTTCAGCCGTTCGTTCCATTTCAGCAGTGCATGACACTGCTTTCTTGTGCTCTCTGGTGGAAGCATATCTGTCAATGTCGTTTTCGTGTGTTTGGAGCTCCCTGTCATATGTTACCAGCAATCAGCTGCCCTATGCCCTTTTTTTGTCTCATAGGAAACAACGGTTGTCAATCTGAGGAGATTTCTTTGATTCGTTCTCAAACCAGAGCCTGGTGTCGCTTCTTTCTCAGTTCACCCTTTACCCAAGTTTAGCAGAGACTGAATTTGAATGACATTGTTCGTTGTTTCAGAGAGCTCCTGTGTAATTCAGCGATTCCATTCTTTTAGGAAACTCTTATTGCGGGAGAGCAGCCCTTGACAAATTGTTCAGCTATTGCCAGCCCCCTTAACCCATTGTAGTTTTTTTCCCATCTCTGCAAGATCCAGCAAATGGTTGAAGTATCCCGAGAGCTGTGAAGTGAACTGCGTGGCAGTTTCTCTGTCTTCTGGTCTTGTACTACGAATTTATCTCTATACTCTTCTGCTGTGTACAGGAACCGTTGCAGGTACACGCTCCTGCTCCATCTGCGCTCTG